TAGTAGAAAAAGAAAGTGAGTTGCCGTGCATTGTTTCCTTATTTGTAGGCAGTCGTATGCAAATTAAGGCTTACTTTTACCCAGTATGATTGGTTAGCGGTTACAAAGGACGGTCTATTCTCCCATTGGTCAAGTCCTAGTCTTGTAATAATTTTCAAGCGACTATGCTTCTTAACGCTCCTTAACCAAATTGATTTCTTTCTAAAGGTTTTAGATTAAAATTTTTTAAAAACAGAAGCTGCTCTATTTTGAAATTGCAGAAGTTAAAGCTTGCGCTCCATTTAGTATCAAATATTCTGAAACCATTGAAACGTTCCTGTAAAAACTGTATTTTAACACTTCAATCTAAGTTTTGGTCCAGAGAAGGAAAAAGAGCAGAAAAGATCCAGCCGACTTCCAAGCTTCCCGGAGTCTCCAAGGCAGGACAATTTAGTTTACAGGAAGGAAATCTTCAAGTGAAAGCAAACGTTTGGGAGTAAATCTTACAGATGACAAAAGTTAAGAGACGGGATAAGACGTCTTGTTTGAAAAGAATAAACAGAACAGTTTAGTCGAGTTGGAAGATCGCGTAATTGGCGAAGGTGGACTGGATGGAAGCATTAAGATTAACATATGAAAGGAGCTAGATTGCTGAGGAAGGCTGGAAATCCTTCCAGTAACAGCCTATTTAAAAAAAAAAAAAAAAAAAAGGCGGGCTGTCCGTAGGTGGCTTTCTGGGAAACTTCCTTAACCCTCTTGGCCACTGCCTGCTTGGATGCTTTTCCTTTATCGTCTGTCGCTAGTTACTTGCAACCACGTGGCCCTGGTGCAATCCTTTCCCCTGAGACATAAACCTGGAATTTGGTGACCTCTGCTTAGCTGGACTAACATTTTGCATAGTACTGTGGGCTACTCTGTTTCTGACTTCCAAGGATATCTTAAAAGTATGATTTAAAAGTATGATCCTGGGAGGCAGAGGCAGGCGGATTTCTGAGTTCGAGGCCAGTCTGCTCTACAGAGTGAGTTCCAGAACAGCCAGGCCTACACAGAGGAAACAGGGGGGGGGGGGGGCGCGGGGGGGGGGGGAGTATGATCCTACACCGATCAGTCTCTTCCTCCGCCCCTCCCTTTCTCCCTCCCTCCCTCTGTTCTTCCTCCTCCCCCTGCCCCCCTCCCCCCTAGGTTTCTCAGGTTTCAGCACAGCTCCTGTACTGTTTGTCTTTCAAACTCTAAAAACTGGCATTGATCTTCTGAATCTGTTTTTAAGTTCTTGTATTAATGAGATTAAGAGCTCAAAGAGGGAATACCAGTTTCTTGATAAGCATCAGAACTAAAATTTTAATTTAGTGGAAATATCAAAAGAAAAATATCTAGCCTTTGGTGTTTGTGAGTTTAGTGTTTTGTTTTTGACACTCTGCCCTCCTTTCTATTCTTATTTCCGAGGCTGGTCCAGAACTCACTGTCCATGGAGGCTGACCTTGATAGGATGCCAATACTGCTTCTGTCACTCAGATGCTTAGCTTATGGATATGAGTCAACATGCACAGCTGACCTATCTCTGATTTTTTTATTTTAATTTTAATTATTTTATTTAATATTTATTAACATAGTTAACATATAATTATGTAATGTAAATATATTTACTAATATAAGTAAATAAAATTTCATTTTAATTATTGCTAAAGACTTAAATTTCTTCACTTTTATATCTAGCTTTTTAAAAAATGAGGCTTACACATAGGTAATGAAGACAATGATTAAAAAAAAAATTAAATACTGAGAGCTACGTAACAGTGCTGAAGTTTTTTTTATCCCTGATTGAAGATAATAGTAGTTATTTATTTTCTGTAAGGTTTAATATAGCCCATGTGATCTTACACTTATTCTGTAGCCAAGGGTAGCCTTCAACTTCTAAGCATTTTGCCTCCATTTCAAGTGCTGGAATTATAAGCATGAGGTCACTGTGCATATTTGTAGAATCTTAAATAAAAATTTTTATGCATGTGTCTATGGTATGTATTTGTGTATTTGTGTCTTGGCATGCCTCTGGAGATCTAAGGACAATTTTGGTGCCTGTTCTACTTTCCGCATTGAGGTGTGTGTGTGTGTGTTCCTTGCAGTGTATACCAAGATTGTTGGTCCTTGAATTCCCATGGAATACCCTTTCGTCTTCTAGTAGGAATACTGGAATTACAGATGTACTCCATTGTTTTGGGTGTATATGGGTTCTGGGGATTCAAACTCAGGTCCTTATGCTTGAATGGCAAATATTTACTTGCTTAGTCACCGTCATTTGTAGGTTTTAAAAATACAAAACTAAAGTCACTTATGCAAATTAAATTTATGTGGAGCATATTAGAATTATAAAATAAGTCCTGGTAACAAATACCCTAGGTTAAAAGCTATGGTATGAAAACTGGGCATGTATTAATAGCTCAGTTATAGAGTGACAGCCTAGCACGCTCATGGCTGTGAGTTCAATGTATTTTTGGCAAAATATTGTATCTCTTTGGCTTCCTATCAACACCCTATGAGCTACCTGACATGGATGCTAGGAGCCAAACTCTGGTCCTTTTTAAGAGAAGTACCTGTTTTAACTGCTAAGCCATTTCTCCAGATCTTTAAGGTCTATTTTGCTAAGAACTTTCTTGCATGTTTTCTGGTAGAGATAAAACACATTTATCTAGGACCTGTGTAAAGAACAATTTAATTAATTCCAAGAATCTCTAATTATCTTTCATAGCAGTCAATTCTTAGTTTTCCTACGACAACATACATGCCCTTCTGTTGTGATCATGTATCCCTTTTTTGAGAGCAGTGGTTGAGTTTCACTTCATTTTTATCTGCAAAGAAGTACCAGGTTGAATCCAACTATTTGAGCCCAGGAATTGGAAGTCAGCATGACAAAGTAGAGAGATACCATCTTAAATAAGAAAAAGTTAGAGGAAGAGTAGGGTGAGGATGAGTGTAGGACCCCAAAGGGCTGCCATGTCCTGGCTGAGACTTTCCGTGTGCTGCTGTCTGCCAAGTAACATTCTGCTGTTCTTTTTAAAATCAAAACATCCTGATGTAGGCATGGTGCCCCAGGTAGGGAATTTACACTTGACAGCCCATTACCCCCCAGTTGAGTTCCTGTTTGTGTTTTTCTTTCCCTGGCTTGATGTATATATTTAACCTGCTCAGTAAAAGCTTTGGCATTCTCTCTTAACAAATGACCTGAGTCTGTGTCTTCCTTTAATCCCCCAGGCCTATGCCTGAGTTCGGTACTGTGGCAGCATGGGCACTATCAGATGAGGAGAGGAAAGAGACTAGTAAACTGACTAAGAAGCTGTCACAGAGCATACATATATGGATAACTCAGTGAGCCACAGTATGTAATCAATGCTAATGAGGAACCCTGTTTAGGGAAATGATGTCCACTTGGCTTGTACAAGCCAGGTATGCCCTTAGCAGAATCCAGAGATATTTCATGTAGTCACCTTGCCTACAGTCCCACCACTCCCTTGATAGAAACCTTTGAGGAAGTTATCAAAAGCACATGAAATTCTTTCATTTTTCCTCTGGGAGGAGTGTTGGTTATGTTTCCCAGGCTAGTCAGGAACTGGTGGGAGCAGTGCAGCCTGTCTATCTCAGCCTTCTACACATCAGGGACTACAAGTTTACACCACCTACTATGGTGGATTCTTTCATGTCAGGAGTCATAATGGGACAAGTTAATAACTAGCAGGTGATCATCCTGAAAAGGCCTGCCTTGGATTATTATATACTCTGCAACAGATGAGTCCTTATTCAGCAATGTTGCAAGGAACTCATTTTAGGAAAGATTCCTGCTATTTATATGCTTTTCCTATTACTATTAAACAAATATAACAATCACTAAGCAATAGCTCACCCCTTTGGAGCGGATCTCTGCAGATCCATGAAGATGTACTGTCTTGTAGTGATGTTATATAGACAAATAAATGACTTCTTAAGTCTTAATGATGATCCTATAAGAATTCTTAAAATTATATCAATGATTATTTAGCTCTTTTATACTGGGACTGCTATTAGGTCCCTTTCTGACAGTCAAAGCTGCAATGAGAACTCTGCCAGTCTCCCAAGTGTCATCAGTTAATGGCTCTTAGATAGTAACCAGACTTTCTCCTACTCAGTGCACCTTCCAAGAGGTTGTAAAACAATTAACCAAAGGTCATTAAAAGGGAACTAACAATTTATTACAGGCACTAGGACAGAAGATAAAATATTGCCTGGGTTTATCTATACAAAACTTCACTAATAACTTATAGTTTTAAACCTTCAGTGAACCTGTGGAACTAGACAGGTGATGGATGTTTAGCCAGGTAATTACTCCTAATGGATATGCATGTAAACATTCTCTGTTCTAAACTTCTATTTCAATTTATGATTTGATATTTGGTGTGAACTTGTGATGAACTTTGTAACATGTGATCACATATTCCTGAAAGATGTATAAGTACTGAGGACAAAGAAATGAGAGGTAGGTAGAATAGAGAGATAGAATAGAATTTTTTCCCTTTCCCCAGGTAGAGTAGAATGTTCCCCTTTCCCTGCTTAGGATCTTTCCGCTTCTCCCCTTAGATAGCTTTAATAGGAAACTTTTAACAACTTAGTAATAAATGCTATAGCCACATCTCTGAGTGTCTTTTCTTCCTGGGACTTCAGACTAGCAGGGTGAAAGTTAGAGCCCAGCAATTCCTGCTGAGATAGAACAAAGGTCACATTGCCTAATCCTCCACTGTTAGGCTACATGTGTTAATCACCTAAGCCTGCAGTCGTTTACTCCAGAAGGAGCAAGAAGTTTTTAGGACTTTTTAGAAGTTATCATCAACATTTCAGTACAGGTCAGAGAGCCAGAAAGCCCTGAGACCCTCAGGGGACTTTAAAGCCATCACCAGAGTCCTACTCTGTGCCCTCACCACTACTTTCTCTGGGCTCAGAGGCTCTCGGCACTTTGATACATCAGACCTTTTGCCTTGCTAGGCATTGTCTGGAAGGCC